AAGAAGCCTCACTGCTAAGGCTGGTGACTCATTTGCTTGGAAGTGAACACAGTGAACAGAATTCCACCTTTTATTTTAGGAAAACTGTCATTTTTCCCCCAAATCACAGATCTGCTCAAACATTCATGAAAGCAGTTTTGCTAAATTTATAAATTTTAAGCTCTATGTTGAAATAGTTTCCAGCCTTCCTGGCTCCTATGCACAGTGTTTTCAAGTCTATATTTTAATTGTGGAACATTTAAGGAGAAAGTGACTTTTCCACAATTGATAACTTGTATTAGACTTATTCTTAAATCACACAAGTCTGGGGAATTGCTCCACAGCAGAAGGGCTAAGACTTGCTTTCTGTTTCCCCAATGTTGTAGCAACTCGAACATCTGTAAACATAATTGGTCAGATCGTCGTTTAGAAGATTGCTTTAATAAGACCTCTGAAGATAAGCTGTTTTATCAGCTTGACAGTTGGCACTCTGGCTTGATAAGAACTCTAGGCTGATTTCCATTAAATTAGATGATGCATGGAAATGATCCTTTACTTTGGCATAGGGAGCTTTTCATTTTTGTACTCCTATTTAAAATTCTAGAGTTCTCTATTTTAATATGTAAATTAACATTTTAGTTTTAAATAGTTCTAGGATGATTTGTGCTATGTGAATACAAATCAATGCTAATGCAATATATTTTAACACCTGGGCAACTGCTAAAGTATAGTTAGATTATTTTTATATTCAATTTTGAAATGCAGAGCTTTATATGTACCACAGAAGCCTAAATATTTGGATTTTTCTATTCAGTACTTGAAAGATGGTTAAACTTTCAGAATTTATTATTAAATGATGAGACCTGATAGAATGGGCAAGATGAATAACTTGAGTGACACACATCCTGGAGAGGCTGTGGAGAAAGGGGAATCCTCCTCCACTGCTGGTAGGAATATAAACTTGTACAACCACTCTGGAAATCAATCTGGCACTTTCTTGGACAACTAGGAATAGTGCTTCCTCAAGATGTGGCTAGAGTCAAATAGAAGGGGAGGAGGACCTCCCTATTGGTGGACTAGGGGAGGGGCATAGGGAAGAGAAGAAGGAGAGAGGGTAGGATTGGGAGGAGATGAGGGAGGGGACCACAGCCAGGACACAAATTGAATAAATGGTAGTAAACTATAATGATAATAATAATAAAAACATACTATAAAAAGAATTTATTAAATGTTTATTATATGTCAATTGATATGAATAGACTTTACAATTCTTCAAATATTTAGCTATCTTGTTATCTCTCCAACAAGCTGTGATTTGGTTTCTTACCTATCATTTTTCTCTGAAAGGGCTTATGAAAGACTAGCAATTTCATACATTATTTACTCTCTAAGAAAGGAATGCTTTCCATACATTCTTAGAGCCAGCATTGATATCATGTAAAAAATGCACTTTTTTTTTCTTGTTTTTAAACATTATTTTTTATTACAATTTGTTCACTTTGTATCCCAGCTGTATCTCCCTCCCTTCTCTCCTCCCAATTCCAACCTCCCCGCCCTTCATTTCTCCTCCCATGCCCCTAGCCTGGTCCACTTATAAGTGAAGTCCTCCTCTCCTTCCATCTGACCGTAGCCTATCAGGTCTCATAAAGACTAGCTGCATTGTCCTCTTCTGTGGCCTGGTAAGCCTGCTTCCCCCTCAGAGGGAGGTGATCAAAGAGCTCAGCCATTGAGTTCGTGTCAGAGGCAGCACCTGTTCCCATCAGGAGGGAACCTTCTTGGAGACTGAGCTGCCAGGGGCTACATCTGTACATGGGTTCTCGGTTATCCAGATGCATGGTCCTTGTTTGGAGTATCAGTCTCAGAAAAGACCCCTGGGCCCAGATTTTTTGGTTCCATTGGTCTTTTTGTGGAGCTCCTGTCCCTTCCAGGTCTTTCCCTTCTTTCATAAGATTCCCTGTACTCTGCCCAAAGTTTGGTTATGAGTCTTAGCATCTGCTTTGATACACTGCTGGGTCGTCTTTCAGAGGCCTTCTGTGGTAGGCTCCAACAAAAATACACTTTTGTCAGGTATCTTCAGGGCTGGCTGCAAAGTCCTCCTCTGTGGCCTAGCAGGACTGCTCCTCCCTTGGAGGGTGGGGAGGTCAAAGAGCCTGGCATTGAGTTCCTGTCAGAGATATTCCCTGTTCCCCTTACTATGGGAAACCAATTGGTTACTGAGCTACCACGAGCTTCGTCTGAGCAAAGGTTCTAGGTTATATCCATACATGGTCCTTGGTTGGAGCAACAGTTTCAGAAAAAAAAAAAACCCTGTGCCCAGATATATTTGGTCCTTGTGGGGCTCCTATCCTTTCTCTGTCATACTAACTTCTCTTCTGCCGAAGGTTTGGTTATGAGTCCAGACGAAAGGGGAGGAGGTCCTCCCCAATCCATGGACTTGGAAAGGGGCAGGGAGAAGCTGAGGGAGGGAGTGTGGGATTGGGAGGGAATAATGGAGCAGGATACAGCTGGGATACAGAATTAATAAAATGTAACTAATAATAATAAACAATAAAAAAAATCAAAAAAATAAGTTTACTGTTTAAAAAAAATACACTTTTGATAAACAAGAAACTATATCGTTTAATGACAACTTCAAGATTTCTTTATAAGCCATTTGAAGATTTTTCCCCAACCTCCATTTCTTGATTCTTTGTCATATATAATTATAGCATCACTCAGATTATGATGCCACATGCAGTAATTTTGTACACATGGCATACATTCAACTAAAGCTGACCATTTACTTCCTCTTGCTTACCATTCTGGTAAGCAGTGGTGGTAGATCATAATCACATGTGGTCCCTGACTTTCTACGGTTGAGGGTTCATGAAGGAGAAACGGAAACAAAAAAAGGGGAAATGAAAAGGAAGTAGGGCAATCATAGACTGGTAAGAAAAAGAGGAAAGTAGTTTGCTGTGTTATGAAAAAAGGGTATGACTCCCATATGGTGGAAGCAGCTGTTTATCTAAATTTCCATCAACTTTGCATTTGTCATATAATACTAGTAGCTTGGACCTGGCAGAGTGGATGTATTTATGCCAGAAAAACCATCAATAACTACAAATTAGTGTTTATCCTCCATTCTTCACCCACGTTATTATATTGGAAATCCTTCTCCTAAACATGTGGGAAAACACTGTTGCCTGTAGTAACAAGATAACTACTTATAGATAGTAAGCAGATAAAAGGTCAAGGTTGTGACTTTAGTAGTAAATAAATATGTTTATTTAGTAGTTATAGATAATATAACTATCTATAGATGCTCATTTTATTTGGAATCTTTATGAGAAAAAGAAGCAAAACACTTTAAGTAAAGAAGATTCTTAATGCCTGGAATCTTAGAACCAGAAAACAAGCTATTTTATGAGTGAACTCCTAAGGTCAGGGTGGCCAGAGAGTGGCAGGACTGAGAACTTCGTGATGTCCGACAGGTGGCATTAATCACCAAAACTGCTGGATGACTCAGATATACTGGGGCTGAGAAAATTCCATTGGCTTATGTAGACAGGCATTGTCAACACGCTTAGCTTAACTCTGAGTGATTTCTTAACTTGATCCAACCTTTATAATTGGTGTGCTAGCTAAGAGATCCACAGCTCCTGCTGCCATTTTCTGGAGAACCAAGGAGGGGATATTTGGCCTTCCTAGCCTCAAGTTCCAGTCTGTGCCAAAGGAATTAGAAGAGAAGAAAGACAGCAAGACAGAAAAGGAAGTGTGTGAAAAGAGGCTGGCAAGGCAGAGGTAGACAGGGAGCAGCTGTGGAGTTGGTGCCCTAAAAAAACTCCAGAAACTGGGACAAAGGTCATCTGGCTGCAATAAGGCTGAGCAAGGACTGAGGAGAATCTGACTGAGTTTGCTAAGCGAGACTTGGCTCCATCCCCTGTGTCCCTTTGCCCTGCTTAGATATTTGACCAGTATTCCAGAAAATTAACTTTTTGTAGGCCTGAAATTTAGTTTGAATTTGGAAGATATTGCTTATAGATCACTTGAAATATTCTGTATAATAGCTATTCTAATTAGCTAGCCCATAATAACCAACTTTGACCCTTTACAGCATTTCAGAATGTTTACTCCGCTTAAACTGAGCGCAGGATAATGGATAAATAGTGCTCACTTACTTTATTTCCTCAGAAAAGACTATACATAATTCATGTCAGTTATTCTTCAGTTTTTCAAAAATTCTTTGAATACATTTCCATTACTGCAGACACAACTGACCACATTTATTATACAGGTTAGCAATTTCCCTTACTATCATATTTAGTTGTAACCTGGTATTATTAATATTCCTTCTCAACCCAAAATCCATAAACATAGTGTGAAGCTTTGTATAAATATGAAAAAACATATTGACCTAAGAGAAAATGTGAAAGCTGTTAAGAGATGCTAACGAACATTGCCTCATGATTTACATTTCTTAATATATCCAAAGAGTAATTTGATAGGTCAGTTTCAAGCATTTACTTGAAACTGAATTCAATGCTATAAGAAGCAAAAAATATATAGAAGACACATATGAAAAAAAAAAAAAACAGGATGACAAAATGTACCTTCTGGTTCTTTTAAATAGCACCCCATTCAAATAACAGTATTTTAATTATTTGCATTTTAAGCTAAAGTAGATATAAGGAATAATTCAAGCAAATACAGAAGAGGGTAAACAAAATAGTATCCACGACACCTGTTGCTACAAGGCTATTTAAATACATTTTCTTAAAAAAAACATGGCAAAGTAAAATGTCATTTTTAAGTATTAGGCAACAGCCTCTGTAAACCACTGGTTGGAGAAATGCGGCCTGGAAGGAGGGCAGGCACAGAATGAGATGGAGGAGGGCAGGAATGAAGGGTGGGGGAATGGCAGTTAAGGATGTCTAGCAGTTCAAAGTCACTGCTCTTGACTATGGGTTGCAATGTTTCTCCAAGATGAAATATTGAGCTGAAAGCATGCTCCACCCACACTTAGAGGACAGGTTTGTTCATACCTGAAGTTCAAGTCTTTAAAGGAGAACTGAGTTTCAATGATACCAGTCGTCTTCACCCGGGAATGTAGAACATCTTGCTCATTTGGCACGTACCCAGGGGCCGTGATTCTATCTAAGTCATTAAGGTAGCTAATAGAAACAAAATAAAAGAGGATATATTGATATTTTTTTTACTTCACATCGTAATATGCCGCAATTCAGTACAAATGTATTTTAGGAGTTTAAAGCACATTAGAAAACACTCCATTTGTTGCTCTTCCAGCTGCTGATCAGAACGGCAGGACTTGGCAGCTGGGATGCCGTCATTGCCGAGTGCAGAGTCCACAATTAGCTCCTGGCGAACTCTTCTCTAAGAGTGCCTCAAAGCTGCTTTAGCGTATGTCCTATGAAGTCTGAAGGACAGATTCCCTATCAGGTAGACAGACTGACGAAAGGCTCTTTCTTCATGCAGAGCCGTAGAGATGTCTTTCTGTGTCATAGGTTGCCTTGGGATGCTGGTGACAACAGTGACCACGAGCTCCACAAACACCCTGTTCTGGGATACTCACTCTATGCTTTAAGAGAGTGGTTGGCTTTAATAATAACTTGAATTGTTTTTTTGTTATTAATTATTTGGGTATTTTTACACAGCTCATAAGGTTAAAGCACAGTCATTTCCATTGAGGGTCATGATGAAATCCACATGTCTCAATGAAAGATTCCAAGTATTGCCTATGGGGCCCACAGGATAGCCATCTAAGTACTGCAGACATCCTACTCTCCCTAGGGCAAACTATTTGCTTGTTTGTTCCTTTTGTGTATTTGCTCTTTGTTTTATTGATCATGTATCTAAAGCTTGTTAATGGGTAGGCGTAAGCCTGATTAACTGTGCTCTGACTCTGTTAGACGAAAGCATCTTCATCCTTTCCAGCAAGATCTAAAAATTAAAACAGTATTTTCTTTCATTTCTACTGTCGTGTTCTACACTGAGCATTTCATTGCTTAGCAATATGGCCATTTCTGTGGAAATTTAAATACAGTATTGAACATGCCTGCATACAGATTTTAAAAGAGGGCTAATCTTTGGTTTCCTTCCTTAGGGTAGCGACCCACTGAATGCCAGTGATTGCTTATAAAGCTAAATATGTTCCAAGATTAAGTGTAAAGATTCTTATACATTAGCATCTAACACCACACGTCTCAACAAGAGGGTCACAACCCCCGTGGGGATTGAATGACATTTTCACAGGGTTGCATATCAGATATTCTGCATATCAGATACTTACACTAAATCATAATTTATTACATACATAGTAAATTCCAGTTATGAAGTTGTAGCTAAATAATGTTATGGTTGGTGGTTACCACAATGTAAGGAACTGTATTAAAGTGTGACAGTTTTAGAAATGTTGAGAATGACTGATCTAACAGCGTGACATTAAAACAAAGGTGTTTTACCATTAAAAATAGATTAAGTAGCTTTTTAGCCTCTTTATTTTGGAAAGTGCAAGTACACCCAAAGGGATTTTGCTCAAGAAGAAAATTAAAATCGTGTCTCAGAAATGATAGAATGTAAAAATGTATAATTATGGTTTTATGCTAATAAAGACTGCCTTTAAAGGGGTGATGACTTTAGAAATAAAGCCATCAGAAGAAGCATTGGCAGATTTTACATTCTTAGTTTATTTTTACTACTACTTGAAACATTGTAAATTTGCTACTGATGAAATTCTATATGTGCATCATATGTCAGTCATTTCATGCCCAAGAAAAAGAATGAAAAAACATATACTTACAAAAATAGAAATAAAATTCATTTAATGAAAGCTTTAGTAAAGATACATTTAAAGCATTTTTTCTTTGCATTTGTAAATCATTCAGGTAAAAGGAGGCATTCACAAACTGATTTTCATCTAAAGTGCTGATTTTAATAAGTGCTGATTTTAATGTGGTGTTTGGATGTCCAAGCCTGTAGTCTATAACCCAAACAGAGGCCTTTTCCCTTACTTGTGTGGAGGGCAAGTGGACTGTTGGACCAGGGAAATCGGCCTGGAGCTAGAGTGAGGTTGAGATGTTTCGACACGTCTCAACCTGAAAAATCTCAATCTTGAGAGTGGCAGGAGTAAGGATCACTCTCTCCCTGTTCTGTGCCCGCATGCCGGATGCGCACAGTCTTACCACTCCCCACCACTCTAGCACCTGGAATTCTTCTCCATGCAAATGAAAGAGTCCCAGCACCTGCAGCCCCAGGCAATGAGGGTCTCTCCCCCAAAATCCTACCCGTTTCCAAGGTTTATAAAGCCCTTATCCACCCCGACCCTCCAATACAGAGAGATGTATCACCGGAATTGCTGTGTTCCTAAAAAGGCTGTAACACTGAAAGAGCTGTAGTGGAGAGGGCTTCCCCCTCAGGGCATTCACTGCTGGACAAAGATACGATAAACCCACCCACCCTCCGGGCTTAGCTTCGTTCCTCTGGGGCCAGCACCTGGAAGATTCTAGGGGAAGAAGCAGGACCCTAGCTTCAGACTGACACTTGTACTTACATGCACAACGTGCCAGATTATAAACTTATGTGTCATCCGCAGTCCCTATCCAGGAAAATCACTTACTAAGCTGCCGAGTCATTGAGCTGGTATTCGGATGCCCTTTCAAAGCAGGCTTGGATTCCTGGATCTCCCCACAGCCGTTTAATTATTTCAGCCAGCTCACGTGTCATGTCACCGTCTTCTAGTGTGTTTGCCATTGACTGAAGTTGTTGTTGGTCTTCCTGGAGTTAACATTTTTGCGCGAACAAAAACAAGAACAAAAGCGTGCTGTTTAGGTTCAGAGACTGTTTTAAACAGAGCAGCATCCTAAAGCACTTTTATTCAATTCCTTTCGCCAACAATTTCACTGAACATGTTTTATTCAAAACCTATTAAAAACAATAAAACTAAAACTTATATAGAAAAATTGTAAAATACTATATGGAAAAATTTGAAAGCTTTGCTTTAAATCATTGGCTTCTTACTATGTTGTTAAAAGGGTAATGGTGCTTTGGTCGAGTCCGTTGTCTCCTGGGCTAAAATGTTCGAGTAAATGAAAAACGAGATTGTTGTAAACTGTTATTTATCATATTTCTTTTCATCATTTTGGCAAGCGATTACACATTGGTAGCCTCACAGAGGTGTTGGCGGTCTCTAGGTGGTGTCAATTGTGCGCCTTTGCAGTAAAGTGCTATAGGGCGGACATACAAAGAGGCTAAGAAAAAACAACAGAGAAACTATCGTGTCCTCCATAGTAAGACCTGGAAGTGGTGAGGGAGGATAGAAGCTTACTAAACAAACTCAATTTAAACAATCTATACTAAGCCATGATTTATACTAGCAATCAAGACTTTTTTATTTTTATTAATTACACTTTATTCACTTTGTATCCCCCCATAAGCTCCTCCCTCCTCCCCTGCCGATCCCACCTTCCCTCCCCCTTCTTCATGCATGCTCCTCCCCAAGTCCACTGATGGGGGAGGTTCCCCTCTCCTTCCTTCTGATCTTAGTCTATCAGATTTCATCAGGAGTGGCTGCATTGTCATCTTTGGTGGCCTGGTAATGCTGCTTCCCCCTCAGGGGGAGGTAATTAAAGAGCAGGCCTATCACATTATGTCAGAGGCAGTCCCTCTTCCCATTACTATGGAACCCACTTGGACACTAAACTGCCATGGCTACATCTGTGCAGGGGTTCTAGGTTATCTCCATGCATGGTACTTGGTTGGAGTATGAGTCTCTGCGAAGATTATAAATTAGGAATCTGAGTCATAGAGTAGTTAAATAGATTATGGCAATTGGTTAGGAAAACAAAGAAATCTGGGCTCAGATCCTCAGTGCCAGTGTCCAAAGCTCAGGTTCTGCCTGCTATAATGATATGCTGGTGAATATCATTCTAGCAACATAGCACACACATATCCTCACAGTAAGCACACACTTCAATGTATTCATTTACACATGTACAGCGTAGCTCTCTCAAAGCTCTTTTTGACACAGCAAAGAGGTGATCAAAGAACAGGCCACAGAGTTCATGTCAGAGAAAAGTCCCTGCCCCCCTTATTAGAGACCCCACTATGGACTTCCTCTAAGCAGGGGGTCTATGTTCTCTCCACGCATGGTCCTTGGTTGGAGTATCAGCCTCTGCAGGCCCTTGTGGGCCCAGGTATTTTGACTCTGTTCTCCTTGTGGAGTTCCTGTCCATGAGACCTGGTAGGCTAGGGTCAGATAGAAAGGGAGGAGGTCCTCCCCCAGCAGGGGACTAGAGAAAGGGCAGAGGGGGAGAAGAGGGGGGGGGGGTGGGACTAGGAGGAGGCAATGGAAGGGGCTACAGCGGGGATACAAAGTGAATAAATGGTAATAAATAAATGATAAGTGAATAAATAAATTAAATTAATTAAAACAAACAAACAAAAAAAAAAAAAAAAACAAGCTCTGAAACTGGAGCAAAATGCTAGCAGAGTCTTTATAGTGTGAGGCTGCCAGAGGGAAGTCTGTCCAGGAAGAAGTCAACGCTTGTTGATGTCATTCATTCATATTCAACCAACTGCAGGTTTATTCTGCTGCTTTGTTAAAAGCCTTTTCTGTGCTTAAGATGGTAATAGCATGTCTTTTATCATTACAGAACGTTAAAACTAAAAGGAAAATTTTCAGCTTTCTGATTAGGTTTTATTATTAAAAGCAGGATGACCCACTGATTGTTAAATAGCCAAAATGCAAGACTTATTTTCTCATTTTCTAGCATTAATGAGGGACTGATTCTAAAACTCATCCTTCCTATTACCCAGAGAACTACAAATCCAGTGAAATATGATTCTTTCACTTAACTTTTCATTAAATTTAATTTTGAGATTATAATGTAACTGAATAATTTCCCCCTTTCCTAACCTCCCCATACCCCGGTCCTTGCTAGCTTTCACATTCAAGGTCGTTTCTCTCATTAATTGTTATTACATGCATATATATGTATCTCTATTCCTAAATCCAGTCTTCTCTGTCTGTGTAATGTCACTCATCAGTATGTTTTCAGGGCTGACCATTTGGTAGGCCCATCCTCCATTCCTTCCCTTATACTAAAAAAAAATGGGAGTCTGCCGTGGATATCAGCCCACCTAGGCATGTCGAGTTTTAGTAGGACTAGGTGCATCTTCTCCTATTGTGGGTAGACAAGGCAGCCCAGTTAGGAGAAAGGGATCCAAAGGCAGGCAACAGAGTAAGAGAGAGGCCCTGCTCCTGCTGTTAGCAGTCCCACATAAAGATCAAGCTACATACATGTTGCATACATGCAGAGGGTGGCTATACAACTGTTGCATATGTGCTTAGGGCCTAGGTCATCCCATGCATGCTCTCTGTTTGGTGGTCAAAATCTCTTTTTTTATTAATTTTTATTTTTTTAATATTAATCACAGGTTATTTACTTTGTATCTCAGCTGTAGCCCCTTCCCCCATTCCCTCCCAATCCCACCCTCCCTCCCTCATCTCCTCCCTGTCCATTTCCAAGTCCACTGCTAGGGGAGGTCCTCCTCCCCTTCCATCTGACCCTAGCTTATCAGGTATCTTCAGGACTGGCTGCAATGTCCTCCTCTGTGGCCTAGCAAGGCTGTTCTTCAAAGACAAATGGGATGGACATGGGAAGTAGGAGAAAACAAGAAACAGGACAGGAGCCTACTGCAGAGGGCCTCTGAAAGACTCTACCTAGCAGCATATCAAAGCAGATGCTGAGACTCATAAACAAACCTTCAGTAGAGTGCAGGGAATCATATGAAAGAAGGAGGAGTTAGTATGACCAGGAGAGGACAGAAGCTCCAAAAGGACAAAATATATCAGGGCACGGGGGTCCTTTGTAAGACTGTTTCTCCAACCAAGGACCATGTATGGATATAACCTAGAAACCCTGCTCAGATGTAGCCCATGGTAGCTCAGTATCCAAGTGGGTTTCTCTAGTAAGGTAAACAGGAACTATTTCTGACATGAACTCAAAAATCTCTTCTTAAAGAATCTTTCTCCTCCTTTGTATTCTCTGAACACTCTCAAACCACCCCTTTTCCCTATTTCATGTTGTTTCCAACATTTATTATAGTGCCTGTCTTATCCTTACATTATTAAATTTTTAGTGTACATGGACTTAAACAAGGACAAAGGTTTTTGTTATATTATTCATTTGTATACTATGATAATATATATTGCTAAAATATTGTGGAAAGGGCAAAGCAAAATAATATGCTAATTTTAAAGAAACACAGGGTTTTAGTAATCTGTAACTTTTATTCCAAGTACTACTCTGAGGGTAACACAGTAAGCAGATTTTTTTATTCATGATAATGTGTGGTATAGTTGTTAATTAAATACAGAAAACATCACTTAGATGCTGTATTACCAACCTGAGTACAGCTCTGCTGCTTTCTATTGATGTCATATTTAATATTACATTTAATTCCTGGAAAACAGTTACTGTTTAAAAAATTATAATGCACAGTAGAAAATAGAGGATTCATTCAGAGAAAAATAAGACTTATGTTGAGGATAGTTAATATCTGCAAAATTATTATATTATGTTCTTAAATACAGAATAGGACAACAAATATAATCCTATGAATTTTCTAGTCCAAATTCCACATAGGCCATGAAATTATCACATGGGCATACTTACTGGACTTCTGGGATTGACATAATCAATCCCAAGGGTAGTCATAGCTTTCACAATGGCTAGGATGGACTGCAAGGTGTTACTGTAAACCACTGCTTTAAACTCCATGCATTCTTGTTTACTGTAACCATTCTTATGGATGATCCTGCAATCAAACATGAAAAGCTTTTGTGAATTGAACTTTTGTAGCACAAATGACCATTGACATTATATTGCTTAAATAAAAGCATTGTGTATTTAGCTTAAAAAAAAAGAAAGGATCATGATCATGTGTATATACTGAGTCTGGACGATTTAACCTCTTTGAATGTCTATTCATTGTATTCTATTTTGGCTGTGGGATGAACACATGGTACGTAAAAGAAGAATTTAGGATTTGTTCTAGGCTACATCAAATACTTTTTCAAATAGATAAGTCACAGCATTTTATTTAGAACAGAGATTCCTTTTCCAAGAAGAAAATTCCCTGACTTCCAGGCCAGAAATGAGCATCCAGGCCTGAATCGTGGTGTGGTGTTTACACTGTTTACAATGATTTCTTTTTCTTTTCTTTTTATTCAAATTAAATTTTTATTTTTTATATTAATTACAGTTTATTTACTTTATATCCCAGCTGTAGCCCCCTCCTTCATTCCCTCCCAACACACCCTCCTTCTCTCATCTCCTCCCTGCCCCTCTGTAAGTCCACTGATAGGGGAGGTCCTCCTCCCCTTCCATCTGACCCTAGTTTATCAGGTGTCTTCAGGACTGGCTGCAATGTCCTCCTCTGTGGCCTAGAAAGGCTGCTCCTCCCTCGGAGGAGGAGGGGGGTCAAAGAGCCTACCAGTGAGTTCATGTCAGAGACAGTTCTTATTCCCTTTACTAGGGTACCTGCTTGGATACTGAGCTGCCATGGGCTACATCTGAGCAGGGGTTTGAAGTTATATCCATGTATGGTCCTTGGTTGGAGAATCAGTCTCAGAAAAGATCCTTTTGCTTGGATTTCTTGGTTTTGTTCCTCTCCTTGTGGAGCTCCTGTCCACTCCAGGTCGTACTAACTCCTCTTTTTTTCAAATGATTCCCTGCATCCTGCCCAAGGTTTGGTTGAGTGTCTCAGCATCTCCTTTGATACACTGTTAGGTAGAGTCTTTCTGAGGCCCTCTATGCTAAGCTCCTGTCCTGTTTCTTGTTTTCTCCTACTGATTTCTAGAGGATATGAAGTCATTTAGCAGAACACCCTGGTTTTTCCTATCACTTAAGAAATACTTGGAAGTAGGAGTGTCTGCAGCATTAACAAAGGCATTCTTTTTCTATTTTTTAATTTTTTTTTTTAATTTAGGTAATTGCTTTCTCTTGGAACCCTTGCCATGTCTCCATGTGTGTACGTGCTCCCGGGTCTCTGGATAGTAGGTTGGCTGTGCTCCTCTCTTCCTTCCACTCAATCACTCATTAGTCAAAGTTTGACTGAGGGTTTAGGAACAATAGCTTAAAATAGACTTTCTCATTAAAGTTAAACTCTGTGCTGGTGCTAATTGTGGTCCTTTGTGCCTTCACTGTGTGATAAATTTTTGTTTCTTTCTGTCATTTTTTTTTTTTTGGTTTATTTTGTGTTGTTTTTAAAGTGCTTTGTGTTTGTTTTTGAGTGTCAGTTTTCTCAAGATTCATGTTGTGTCTATACACATGGAAGCACCAACTTAAGGGGCAAACAGAGCACAAATAACTCTTCAACACCTTTGAAGAAACTAAGACCACCAAATGGAAGGACCAGGCTCTGGGAGGACTTAAGTGTACCTATATTGTTTTTATCTATTCCTTTACATTTGATTTTCAACAATTGGTTATTTTTACCTTCAACAGGGTCATGCTTATCATGGTGTATTAATTAAATCACTTGAATAAGCAAACAAACAAACAAACAAACAAACATTGACCAAACAACAAAGATCTTAAAATAGAAGAACAGCCTACTTATAAATAATCAAAGCATGATTGTTGAATAAATCCCAGCCCTCTATCCATAATTAAGAGAGAAAATTATTTTAATTGTTAAATTAAAACGATAATTATGAATACATTTGAGGCATCTGGGTTCCTTTGGTAAAACAAGTTCCGATGACTCTTACAAGACTGTGAGGATTGCTTAATTTTATTTCATGTAGAAAGAGTTCTCTAGCTAGAAGCTGATTTCCAGCTTACTTCAAACTAAGAAGATTTTATTGGGCATTTTGGTTTTTCATTATGTACTGAAAGAAATGAATGAATCACAGCTGTCTCTTCTCCCAGTAGAGCCGAAGTGAAATTCCAGTTTATATAGCAGCTACTGCTCACTGTAGCCATCAGCCATGTTACATAAATTTGTAGTTTATATCAAGTGGCTATTAAAGTCACTCTCAGAGATCATAGCCAGGAAACCTTTTCATCATGGTAAAATTTTTAATAAGAAGCACCAAATTGCAGAAAGAATTATCTTTTTAACATACTTGTATGTTGTGTAAAAGTTCATAGCCACATCTGTGTATAAAAAGCCACATCAGGGAGAAAATGAAAAGGAAGGGCAGAAATAATGAGCTTAAGCAAATTACATGACATTGGTGGCTCTGGATTAACCAGAGAATTTCATCACTGACATCTAGCCTCATTTTATTCATTTTTATTGCAGTTTTCATTCATGGAAATTGTATTTAATACTTCTTCATTAAGAAATTAGATAGTTACTCCAATATAAAGAATAAATAATAAAAAAGCAATGTAAAAACACATAAGTATTTATTGCAGTGACATTAATAAACAAAGGTTTCACATTCATATAGATAAAAGGCCAATTTCTTCCAAATTTCAAATGGATCCTTGATTGACATAATTGAAATATTTATGGCTTATACCCACAGTGTTAAAGAGCTAGATCGTTTGAGGATTGATTCAATTAAAACATATCTTCTAGCACTAATGCTTCAAAAGAAGAACAGAAATTACAGTTATTATTGAACAATGGATGGAATGTTTCCACACTCAAAAAGTCAGGATAGCTCTGCTACTACTCACAAATCCTGAAGAAGTTACCTGAATTTGAAAAGTGTCTCACGTTTCTTTTAGGATAACTTCAGTGTGTATGATATGTCTTACTTATCTGTGTGTGCCCAGGGCTGACCATTTGGTATTGAACAACCAATTGGTAATGGAAGACTCTTTCTCTAGCTGAAAGCATTGCTTGCTTGCTTGTAGTTCTCCATGTAGGGCTGAATTCTCCTGGGCTTACTCTGTTCATGTTAACATGTTTATTAGTGTAATCTTATATCATCTCACGATTTGTCAGTCATGCTGGTGAAACTTTATGAGAATATAGTACTTACTCATAAATATATAACAAAATTAATGAAAATAAAGACAATAGTTATGGAAAAGACCAAGAAGGGGTATGTGGGAGGAAAAGGAAAAAAATAATTATGTAATTATATTATAATAAAACACTAACACAAATAATTAAAATAGAATTGCTCAATGCATAGATGAATATCAAATATCAAACATTTGAAAGAGTTCTGTACCTACTTCATTTGTTTAACAATAGTACTTTTCCCAGATTCGCCTGCTCCTGAAACAAATGAAACAAATGTTATTAACCTTTCATCAAATTTGTATGAATATTAAGACCTATTTGACATGTTTATATCTCCTGGGTTTATAACCCAATGATATATTCCACAATTTCAGAATCTAAATAGCTCTTGGCCTCCTAGGATGACACCTTATATCTCTATTTGAATAAATGACAAAAGAAGAAAGCCATAAGTAACTTTATTTCTAGAACTGTTCAAACAAAAATCTATCCTGCTTAAAACATCCTTTTCTCCTTAAAGTGATCCTAGAAGCCTATCATACCTTTGCACATAGCTATGATTTCCTTTATCTAAATGAATGAAATTCTTAAAATCTCTAAGTAAAGAAGACAGTTATGCTAGACACTTGTTAATAAGCACAGCAGATTATCATTAATAGTGACGGTGGTTGGCCCTCTCTGGTGGGGTGGATTTCAAGTTGGGCCAGTGAATGGTTTGCTATTCTCTCAATCTCGGTTCCATCTTTGCCCCTGTACTTCTTGTAGAGAAGACACATTTTGTGCTGAAGGTTTTACATGTGTGTTGGTGTTTCCCTCCCTCTGCTAGGAGTCCCACCTGGCCTTATGCTTTCAGGTAGTGTAACCACTACAGACTCCCAGGAGCCTCCCTTGTCCCGAGATGATACCCCGCCTCCAACGCTTTCTCTTCTTTTTCCCAGTTCTTTGTCTTCACATCCCTTCCTCCTCCTCTCTCTCTGCATCCCCACCTCCACTATCCTCCAGCCATCTCTCCCAGCCAGTTCCCTCCATTCATCTACTTTGCATGTCTATTGTATTTCCTGTTCTGAGCGAGATTCCTGTTCTGAGTGAGGTTCCCTTGGCTTCTTCGGCAGATGATGAAGACAGATGGAGAGAGCCAAGGCCAAGCAATGGGCTGAGCTAGGGAGTGCTGTGGAAGAGTGGGAAGGAGGGGTCAAGGACACCACAAGAAGACCTATAGAGTAATCTACCTGGGCTCACAGGGACTGACAGAGACTGAACCACCAAATAATGAGCTTGCATGGAATGAACCTGGAACCCCTACAAATATGTAGCAAATGTGCAGCTTGGCCATCATGTGGATCCCTTAATACGGGGTTTCTCTGAATCTGTTCCCTGCTGCTCGGTCACTTTCCCCTGGCTGGGCTGCTTTAGCACTCTCAGGTGGGAGAGGATGTGCTTAGTCCGGCCTTGACTTGATATACTTGTGTGGATTGGTACCAATTGGGTGTCTCCCCTTCTCTGGGAGGAAGGAGATTGGGGGATGGGAGGAGAGGCTAGGACTGGGAGGAGAGGAGGGAGGTGGCTAGGATGGGAATGTAAAGTGATCCTAGGAGCCCTAATGCATGGGAAGGTGACATGGAATGTCTCATGTCATAGGGTCAGGGTATGAGAAATCAGCAGTGCTACCACTGGTGTTACAGTCACCTTTTTCTGCGACATGTATTTTAGCTTATGACCCACACTATAAAAGATTATTGGATCAGCTGGTCTCTGGAAGCATCATAAAGAGAAACCCAAAACATATATAATTCATAACACAGAAAGTAATAGCTCTTAGGGAAAACTTAGTGGCTGTTTTAGGTTGTCAATAAGGAGCTTTTGAAGATATTTCGTGAATATCTCTGGATGTTATTCTTTTCTTCTTTTTTTGAAAAATGAAAACTAAAAAGTGCTGAGAAAATGGGTCGTAATCTAGGTTTGTTTTAGTATTTGTATATGACAGACAGTTATCTTGATTTATCGAAGTATCATGATTTCAATGTAAGCAAAAGTTATTTTGAATGATAACTCCAAATCTAGAAATTTTATAAAAATTTACTTATGGGTTAGAGCACCCTGATACCGCCATGTAGAGTTTTGCTGCTTGACCCCTCTCTCTATATCTATCTATCTATCTATCTATCTATCTATCTATCTATCTATCTATCTATCTATCTATC